AAATGATTCTCTCTTACATTTAACTATTGAGCAAAATACCACATAAACTCTACCTGTGCATTTTGTTTTTCTTGCCTAAATGTAGAGCCTTGCTTTTTTCACTGCTGTTTGTAAGGCTACCATTTTTTATGGTATTTTATCTTTGGACCAAATTCTGTTTCCCATATTCCAAAATAAACTAGTGGGACAAATTTGGGGAACCTCTTAGATATAGGTATGTAACTTGGTGCCTCTCCATTTTCCCCCCAAAGTATCCCAATTTTCTGTGAAGTTGAAATGGCATCCACCATTGTTTATTCCTTAGTCCGTCCAGCAGAGAGTTTGATTTCCCTCAGCACATTTAATCACTTAATCACATTTGTTTCTGGAGGCCAAGAAATGATCTAACCCCTTCTGGAAATGTAGAATCACAATATTGCAAAGATGCGAAAGGACCACAAGGATCAACACTACAACATACAGGAAAACTTGTTAAGTCATCTCTGACAGATGATTCTTTAAAGCTTCCAAAAATGGAGAAAACTCAACAGCTTTTGCAGTGTTCCACTATTGTACAGATCTTACCTTTGCGGTCTTAAAATCTAGATAGCTGTAACTGTGCACTCGGAAAGTATTCAGACCCCCCTTTTGCCAATTTTGTTATGGTGCAGCTTGAGTCTACAGTTGTTGAAATTCTCAAGAACTCCATAATCACAAAGTGAAACAAGTTTAGAAATGTCTGGAAACTTATTAAAAAGAAAAACCTAAAATATCACCTTGGCATAAGTATTCGGAATCTTTGCTCAGTACTTCATTGAAGCACTGTCAGTGGACAGCCATTTTCAGGTCCCTCCAAAGATGTTCAAGTTGGAGCTCTAACTGGGCCACTCTAGGACATTCACATAGTTGTCTTTGCTGTGAACTAAGGATCATTGTCATGTTGGAAAGTGGACCTCCGACCCAGTCTGACCTCCTGACCAATGTGGAACCAATGTTTTCCCTGTACTTTGCTCTATTCAGCTTTCTTTCAATCCTGACCAGTCTCCCAGACCCTGATGCTGAAAAAAACACCCCCACAGCATGATGCTGCCACCACTATATTTTACCCTTGGGATGATATTGGGCAGGTTTCCTCCAGACAATGTTTAGAATTGAGGCCAAACAATTCAATCTTGGTTTTATCAGACCGGAGAATCTTGTGCCTCTGATTCTGAGAGTCCGTCAGGTGCATTTTTGCACGTGGCACGACAAAACCGCACTCGACTAAAGCGCGCCCGATTAAACCGCGTCGCTGACGTCATCAACAGGGCGACAACAACGAGCGCGGAGAAAGAGGGGCGCTTTAAATAGCGCTTTGAAAGCAAGCCGAT